TTGGCTATTTGCTGATCCAACTTCAAACGGCGATAACCGGAGCTAATGAGCTCCGAATTGAGCATATGATAGCTTGTTGAAAAGGGAATTAAGTAAGACAAAGATCTAATCCGAGAAGAAGGTTTGGTTGCAAGCGGTGTGGTCGCAGAAAAATTAAGAGTGAAACATGTCCGAATAGGTAAAAACGTAAAGTTTGGAATTTGGCTAAGTGAGTTTATGGGAACTCCTTAGTAACTTATAATAAGTAATGTGAGTTATAAAAATAGTTTAAATAAGTCTTCCGCAAGAGTTTACAGTTACGGTCACAACTTTTAATTATTACGCCTTTTTATGTTTTAAATGCTCACGTAATAATCGGAAAAAGTTTATTCGCATTTTTATAAATGAACTGCTGTGATTGTAACTGCGCTTAATATCATAATTAATGTTAACAATACCGGTGTACAACGGGCTGTTACGGGAAGGAAGGCATAAAAACTTCATGAAGCAGCGTACAACAATTTGGTGAATGACTTTTAATGAAACTTGGTGATAAAGTACTCAATTCCACCAAATATAGATTTGTCAACATTAAATACTATTGGTTCTTTAATTCTTCATTTGACTAATCAAGTATCAGCTTAAATATTTATTGGTTCAATTCTATCAAATTTCCTCATCTTTCTTACTAAAGTTACGTACATGGCAATTTAAAGAAGAGATAACATTGCAACTTAAATAATTAAGACTAAGAATTTTGTTTGACTTTTTACTAATCAAAACTCATCTTATTGCTTAATAATTAATCCATCTTTTCCTTAATTTTAACAATTAATCCAAGTATCATTTAAATCATTTAAAGATACTTTGAACTTACTAATTTCTCTAAACTAATTAATTATTCAACCTAAATTATATTTAGGCCTAATTACCAAGGTAAACCCAAACTTACTCCATATAAATATTTATGTTCTTAATTATATCTAATAATTATATTTGAGTCCTATTAGACTTGTATGACATGAACTATATTCTCTTACTATTTTTCATATGAGTCTATTAATTTAACTCCCACAATTTCATTGAATAAGTATTTAATCTAGTTAACCACCTAATTAATTCATTTCTCTTAATTTACTATTGAGGGTTGTTATATTCACCCCTCCTTTTTAAAGATTTTGTCCCCAAAATCGGAATACCTAACGTTTCCAAAACTAAGCACTGAAAAAAATTCATCTCAAAGACTGCTTAGCTAAGTCATTTTCTTACTTTGATCATTCACTTGCATTTCTTCTCTACTTATATGTTGTCAACTTTCTGCTTAATCTAATACTAGTCTCATTTCATCTACACTTATTCCATCTCTATACCCATCATCTTGGTTTACTGACTAAGCTTATCTAACTATAGTCACTAGAATTTCTCAACCATAACTTAATACTTACTTGAATCTCTTACCTATACCTCAAAGAATCAAATTTAAGAGTTATACCTCAGACATTAAATAATTATTCCTCTTCCCGGTTAATCATCCGGTCACAAAATTCAAATTCTGATACCAATAGATTACTTATCGAAATATCAAATCCTAATATCTAACAGTACAATAACATTTCTCAGTACCAAAAATATTTTGTACGCATACATAACATATCTATACATAATTGTGCTGAGAAAACTTCCAAGAGAATCCCCGAAGGTCTATGTCTTATAGGCATAAGCCCCTAGAAAGTAACCTTACATAATATAACATAAGACTCCCAAATGTAATCGTTCAATCATATAGAACTAAGTACATCATTAACACAATTTATAGTTTTATTGTACATCAGTCCTTGCACTAATGATACAATTCACAATTTTTCGTATATCAGTCCTTGCACTGATCATACAATACACAATTCATTGTACATCAGTCCTTGCACTGATGATTCAATTCACAATTTTCTGTATATCACCTTGCACTGATCATACAATACACAATTCATTGTACATCAGTCCTTGCACTGATAATACAACAATACACAATTTTCTGTATATCAGTCCTTGCACTGATCATACAATACACAATTCATTGTACATCAGTCCTTGCACTGATGATTTCAGTAAATAAAAAATAGATTTTTTTTGTTTAAAATAAATATAAATTTTTATTTTAGATAAATAATAGTGCACAATTTTCTGTATATCAGTCCTTGCACTGATCATACAATACACAATTCATTGTACATCAATCCTTGCACTGATGATACAATTCACAATTTTCTGTATATCAGTCCTTGCACTGATCATACAATACACAATTCAATGTACATCAGTCCTTGCACTGATGATACAATTCACAATTTTCTGTATATCAGTCCTTGCACTGATAATGCAATACACAACTTTATTGTACATCAGTCCTTGCACTGATAATACAATACACAACTTTATTGTACATCAGTCCTTGCACTGATAATACAATACACAACTTTATTGTACATCAGTCCTTGCACTGATAATACAATACACAACTTTATTGTATATCAGTCCTTGCACTGATAATACAATTTCATCATTCAATGGTACTCTAGTCCTTTCACGAGTCATATCATCTTGACACTCAATTTCATTTTACTCTCATGCATGTATCTACACTTCATGTAATTACCTATCAATTTTCATCACACTAGATGAGTATTCTATAGAAAACATTTCTAAAATTTCATACCTTTAGCTATCCTGAGGTTTTCCTCCCCAGTAAGTGGCTCTAATATATAAGTCTGACCTCCTGCTTGAGTCCCATCAATTTCTTGTACACTTGCAACCTGATCTATCCTGGTTGGACAAACATTAGCAAAGTGGCCTAATTTGTCACATTTGAAACACGTTTTTGTAGTAAACCAACAAGTACCTCCATGGTGTTTCCCACAAGTGTCACATTTAGGGAATGTGAATTCATTTCTGTCACTATTACCCTTTCTCTTGAACTCATCACCAGATTGCTTCACCCGTAAACCTTTATCCTTATTATTTTTCATTTTAACATCAGTACCATTGGTCCTCTTGACCTCAGCATCACCAAAAGTAGAAGATTTCGGATATCTACTATAAACAGTCTCTACCCGTTTACACTGGGTAATCAGATCAGCAAAATTCCTCACGGCTGTATTAGACATACGCTTTGCAATCTTCTCATTAAGTCCCCTCTGAAACTTAGCAGATAAGAATTCCGAGGTAGGCAGAGTCCCACCATAATTAGCAAACTTGACTAGTTCATTAAACTTTGTAGCATATTCATCAATAGATAAAGAGCCTTGGACCAGACAATCAAATTCACCCTGCTTGGCTTCCCTAGCATCCCTAGGAAAGTATTGCTCGTGAAACAAATTCTCAAATAGGTTCCAAGTAAGTTCTTGCCCCTGTATCACAAAAGGCCTAGAAACGTCGCACCACCACTCATGGGCATCTCCCTCCAGCATATAAACAGAGTACCGAAACTTCTGAGGGTCACAACATCTCATAACTTGGAAAATTTTATCCATACCCTGCAACCAAGTAGTGACCACTTTTGGGTCTTTAGACCCCATAAAAGTAGGAGGCTTGTGTTTACGAAAAGAAATAAGTCTCCTCTCCTCAATAACACCCTCGTCATACTGTTCAACAATAATAGATGGCTCAACAAAAATAGTAGGTTGACTAGCCTCACCAGTGTGATGACTAGCTCCACTCTCCCTCTGCTGGGGAGTAACAGATGGCGTAGGTGTAGGAGTCACCGTAGCCGTGTGAGGAGGAGAATCATCCCTCCTATACTGAGCTCTCTCAGCCCTCATCTCAGTCATGAAGGCATGCAGCATGTCCTGATTATTCTTCATCAGGTTCTCTGTCATTGTTCTATTAGCAGCCGTCTCCACCTGCAGAGCATTCAGAACTGCAGTAACCGGATCAGGCGGTGGAGGAACTGTACCTCGCGTCCCACGGCCATCACGAATCCCCCTCATGATAACTGTACATGTAACACAAAGGAATGAGCTGATCAGACCCACACTGAGGAATCACATATACATTCATCATAAAGGGTTTACAGATAGCTATGCAACACAACCTATAGTCATATCTAATCAGAGTTCCCTAGTAAACTGCTCTGATACCATAAAATGTAACAGCCCGTTGTACACCGGTATTGTTAACATTAATATGATATTAAGCGCAGTTACAATCACAGCAATTCATTTATAAAAATGCGAATAAACTTTTTACGATTATTACGCGAGCATTTAAAATAATAAAAACGTAATAATTAAAAGCTGTGACCGTAACTGTAAACTCTTGCGGAATACTTATTTAAACTACTTCTATGTCTTATTTTACTTATCATAAGTTACTAAGGGGTTCCCATAAACCCACTTAGCCAATTACTAACTTTTACGTTTTTACTTACCCGAACATGGTTCACTAATTAAATTATTGCGAATGCACCACAAAAATTCAGACCTTCCACTTAGGTTATATTTTTTTCTTACTTAATTACCTTTCTAAAAAGCTATCACACGCTATGATCGGAGCACGTTTGCTCCGGATATCGCCGTTTGAAGTTGGATAAGCAAAACAGCCAACCAACCCCAAAACAGCTCAAAACCTCTCTCACTCCTCGAATTACTGCAGAAAATTCACTCATCCAATTGCTCTCAAATTTTTATTCTATAAACTAGACACCTCAATCTTCGATTTGATATATCATACGCTTAATTTGACCAAGAAATGAAGCAGGAATAAAATTCCCAAAACTGGACCAAAACAGCCCCCAAGTGCAGGGCAAAACAGGGCAGTTGTGTTCACTGACTTCCACAGGGCTGCGCACAACCCATAAAATTCTAATATTTTTACACAATGTAGGGGACATCTCAAGCTTCAAAAAGGCGTATGGCACGTCCCTATCGGACCTCTATGGAGGGAGATATGCTCTCCCGAAGTTCACCTAAAATCTGCCAATTCTACAGAAAATTCGCCAGAGTTTCCTTTGTTTTTCCTTAAATCCCCAAATTTACATAAGCTTGCTAATACCACAAATATACCTAATAATCCAATGGGTGGCACACACAAGGACCAGCAATGCCTTGGGGCTCTTACAACCCACAATATACAACAATTCCATATCATATACAGTAGTATACATACATGATCCATAACTCTATATATATCATATCAAAAAGGTGACTCTGTGCCATAACTACAACATCCTACATCAACCTACATAAACATAATACATCACAGTGTCACAATATATACAACAGACTCCCAAAATAAGCAGGCAACATCTATGCTCAGATCTACTCATCAACCACGGGCCTCTTGCCCCGAGAACGATCGTCAACTGCTGCGATACCTGAAATATATCCCCATAACGCGGGGTGAGAATGAATCTCAATAAACTTGGGGTTTATGGAGCAGTCTCCACCCAAGAGTCCACTTCCTGCAAGAAAATATCAAGTACCAAGACATAGATAACACCATATAATCCATATTAGAATTTCTGTATCATATATCTTTTCTAATAATTCTCATTTATTCTTATAATGTACTTTCTTATTAATCTTAAGTATGTTCATGTCTTATGTATGAATAAGGCTTCCATCTTATATTTGTAATGTCGTATCATATTCAATAGCATACTCATAATGATTAGAGAACTAAAGTATTATCGGCTATACCTTATGTATACCGTGATCATATCCATAATTGTTTCCTCTGTTCAGAAACCATAACTTACACTTCCAAGGCTTTATTTCATTGAAGATCATATCATATTAACTTATCATAACATAAATAATATCATATGCATGCACTATATGAATGCAACTACGCAAAGTATCAATATTAACAACAATTATATCCATACGGAAACCATAATCGCCACTGATCATGGCGGAACAAAAAGGCTGAGAAAACTCCTAACCGAAAGCTTACCTGTCGTCTCTTTCCTGCTGCTAACTTGCTATTTAATAACCCGTACACTTGGTTGTCTACAAGTTGTTCGTCCACCTACTTCATCTGATTACACTCTGTTACCGTACATATAAAAGTACCATTAATTTCCAATGAAACATACATTACTTGAAATCCGAGTAATTATATTCATATGTTAATTTCATAACCAACTTGACAACTTCATTTCCCTTGACAGTTCATGCCATCCCATAAGTTTACAACTTAATTTATACTTCATGACTTAGAGTCTCAATTAGTTAATTAATTTACTAATTTATAGTTAACATTTCATACACTTTTAACAAAGCTTCACGTATCTTAAACCATTTGAATCATACTTACTTATTCTAGGAAAATGCTATAAATCAATCACTTGAATTGAAAACACATAATCTATGCCCATTATTCCTTTATGGCCGAACTCTATATATAAACACATATACAATTCTTTTGGTTGTCATGTTTAACTAATTAGCTTAATTCTTGTGAAAGCATTCATACACTATTATTCCATTAACTTGACATAAAACTAACATCAATTTCCTTAGCCATTTAATACATATTGGTCGAATAGTTACATATACATATACTCATGGATTTACCATTTCATCTTAGTTAATTCCTTGTTTGATCACTAAGTAGTCTTATATAAACTATTACATAACTTTTTCATCAAAACTCTAACATAAACATAGTCTACATCCTAGACTTAATTAAGATTTCACACTTTATGTTTGGTTCAAATACTAGCCAATCATCATTAAATGTCCTAAGGATCATTGTTTTACATAACCAATGAATTAAACACTTAATTTGCACAATTAATTCTAAAGGGCCGAAATACACACATTTTTTACAGCATCAACATCCTGTGCCATTTTAATCACGAAAAATTCATCTTAACTCCGATTCCCCTGAATTTTGGATATGTTATAGTAGACACTTAAGGCTTTAATTTGGCGCAAACCACAATCCATTTGAAGTCTTGTAGCTTCAGATATGAATTTTTAAACATAACAGCCCCTATGTTGATCCTAAAAGGTCCATAAAGTTCTTTTGAAATTCCTATACTTCATTCTTTTTACAAACCAACTCTAAATCATATTACACTTACATTTCCACATACAACTTGATTAAACACATCCTTTAACTATTTTATCACATGATGACCGATTTGCCTAGCTCAAGGTTTAATGAATTCTCTTTCAATTTTTCTATCACTTGAACCTTTAATTTGTCATCTCAATTTCATGTATTTCACTTAGGAAATATTACAAACACTTGGTGTGCACATCTTTACAACCAAAATCTGAACCATATAGAGTTCATTAAACTCATCCCTTATGTGATTTCAATTTCTTTTTGTAGTATAGAAAACCAATCCATCACAACAACTCATTAACCCACTTAAACATCAATAAAACCACTTAAATTCATCATTAAACCAACATCAAAATTATCATCATAAACAGCCCTATATCATGAATATCATCATTATTTCTAAGAATTTAATCAAGGGAGTGAAGGTTTAATACCTTAGATAGCCTAACCAATAACTATTGATGACTTCCCTAAGCTTAGAACTATGGAATCAATCCATTTTCTCCTTCCTTTCATGTGCAGGCGCTGCTGTCCAGAGGAGAAAAGAAGAGATTTAAAGCTTCCCAAAGTTAGAAAAATGGTGGGTTAGAATGATGGGGTGCTAAGCTACCTTTTCTATGTTGGAGTCTGGATGAAATGGTGACCAAATCATCAAGTTCTCTCTTGCCCTTTCTCCATTGAAGCTCACGAACTAAGGAAGAAGAAAGAAAGAGGAGTGCAGCGTGAAAAAAAAAAAAGGAAGAGAAGGGACCGCCTAATTGAAGCCAAGTAGTCTTAGTTTATTTATTTATTTATTTTTTTGACAACATGTCACTTTCTCATTGGTTTAAACAACCAAACTACTTGCTTGTTGCTTTCTTCTTAAACTCTACGGCCCACATAAGTGATAAGGAAGGAAGGCATAAAAACTTCATGAAGCAGCGTACAACAATTTGGTGAATGACTTTTAATGAAACTTGGTGATAAAGTACTCAATTCCACCAAATATAGATTTGTCAACATTAAATACTATTGGTTCTTTAATTCTTCATTTGACTAATCAAGTATCATCTTAAATATTTATTGGTTCAATTCTATCAAATTTCCTCATCTTTCTTACTAAAGTTACGTACATGGCAATTTAAAGAAGACATAACATTGCAACTTAAATAATTAAGACTAAGAATTTTGTTTGACTTTTTACTAATCAAAACTCATCTTATTGCTTAATAATTAATCCATCTTTTCCTTAATTTTAACAATTAATCCAAGTATCATTTAAATCATTTAAAGATACTTTGAACTTACTAATTTCTCTAAACTAATTAATTATTCAACCTAAATTATATTTAGGCCTAATTACCAAGGTAAACCCAAACTTACTCCATATAAATATTTATGTTCTTAATTATATCTAATAATTATATTTGAGTCCTATTAGACTTGTATGACATGAACTATATTCTCTTACTATTTTTCATATGAGTCTATTAATTTAACTCCCACAATTTCATTGAATAAGTATTTAATCTAGTTAACCACCTAATTAATTCATTTCTCTTAATTTACTATTGAGGGTTGTTATATTCACCCCTCCTTTTTAAAGATTTTGTCCCCAAAATCGGAATACCTAACGTTTCCAAAACTAAGCACTGAAAAAAATTCATCTCAAAGACTGCTTAGCTAAGTCATTTTCTTACTTTGATCATTCACTTGCATTTCTTCTCTACTTATATGTTGTCAACTTTCTGCTTAATCTAATACTAGTCTCATTTCATCTACACTTATTCCATCTCTATACCCATCATCTTGGTTTACTGACTAAGCTTATCTAACTATAGTCACTAGAATTTCTCAACCATAACTTAATACTTACTTGAATCTCTTACTGATACCTCAAAGAATCAAATTTAAGAGTTATACCTCAGACATTAAATAATTATTCCTCTTCCCGGTTAATCATCCGGTCACAAAATTCAAATTCTGATACCAATAGATTACTTATCGAAATATCAAATCCTAATATCTAACAGTACAATAACATTTCTCAGTACCAAAAATATTTTGTACGCATACATAACGTATCTATACATAATTGTGCTGAGAAAACTTCCAAGAGAATCCCCGAAGGTCTATGTCTTATAGGCATAAGCCCCTAGAAAGTAACCTTACATAATATAACATAAGACTCCCAAATGTAATCGTTCAATCATATAGAACTAAGTACATCATTAACACAATTTATAGTTTTATTGTACATCAGTCCTTGCACTAATGATACAATTCACAATTTTTCGTATATCAGTCCTTGCACTGATCATACAATACACAATTCATTGTACATCAGTCCTTGCACTGATGATTCAATTCACAATTTTCTGTATATCAGTCCTTGCACTGATCATACAATACACAATTCATTGTACATCAGTCCTTGCACTGATAATACAATTCACAATTTTCTGTATATCAGTCCTTGCACTGATCATACAATACACAATTCATTGTACATCAGTCCTTGCACTGATGATTTCAGTAAATAAAAAATAGATTTTTTTTGTTTAAAATAAAAATATGAATTTTTATTTTAGATAAATAATAGTGCACAATTTTCTGTATATCAGTCCTTGCACTGATCATACAATACACAATTCATTGTACATCAATCCTTGCACTGATGATACAATTCACAATTTTCTGTATATCAGTCCTTGCACTGATCATACAATACACAATTCAATGTACATCAGTCCTTGCACTGATGATACAATTCACAATTTTCTGTATATCAGTCCTTGCACTGATAATACAATACACAACTTTATTGTACATCAGTCCTTGCACTGATAATACAATACACAACTTTATTGTATATCAGTCCTTGTATATCAGTCCTTGCACTGATAATACAATTTCATCATTCAATGGTACTCTAGTCCTTTCACGAGTCATATCATCTTGACACTCAATTTCATTTTACTCTCATGCATGTATCTACACTTCATGTAATTACCTATCAATTTTCATCACACTAGATGAGTATTCTATAGAAAACATTTCTAAAATTTCATACCTTTAGCTATCCTGAGGTTTTCCTCCCCAGTAAGTGGCTCTAATATATAAGTCTAACCTCCTGCTTGAGTCCCATCAATTTCTTGTACACTTGCAACCTGATCTATCCTGGTTGGACAAACATTAGCAAAGTGGCCTAATTTGTCACATTTGAAACACGTTTTTGTAGTAAACCAACAAGTACCTCCATGGTGTTTCCCACAAGTGTCACATTTAGGGAATGTGAATTCATTTCTGTCACTATTACCCTTTCTCTTGAACTCATCACCAGATTGCTTCACCCGTAAACCTTTATCCTTATTATTTTTCATTTTAACATCAGTACCATTGGTCCTCTTGACCTCAGCATCACCAAAAGTAGAAGATTTCGGATATCTACTATAAACAGTCTCTACCCGTTTACACTGGGTAATCAGATCAGCAAAATTCCTCACGGCTGTATTAGACATACGCTTTGCAATCTTCTCATTAAGTCCCCTCTGAAACTTAGCAGATAAGAATTCCGAGGTAGGCAGAGTCCCACCATAATTAGCAAACTTGACTAGTTCATTAAACTTTGTAGCATATTCATCAATAGATAAAGAGCCTTGGACCAGACAATCAAATTCACCCTGCTTGGCTTCCCTAGCATCCCTAGGAAAGTATTGCTCGTGAAACAAATTCTCAAATAGGTTCCAAGTAAGTTCTTGCCCCTGTATCACAAAAGGCCTAGAAACGTCGCACCACCACTCATGGGCATCTCCCTCCAGCATATAAACAGAGTACCGAAACTTCTGAGGGTCACAACATCTCATAACTTGGAAAATTTTATCCATACCCTGCAACCAAGTAGTGACCACTTTTGGGTCTTTAGACCCCATAAAAGTAGGAGGCTTGTGTTTACGAAAAGAAATAAGTCTCCTCTCCTCAATAACACCCTCGTCATACTGTTCAACAATAATAGATGGCTCAACAAAAATAGTAGGTTGACTAGCCTCACCAGTGTGATGACTAGCTCCACTCTCCCTCTGCTGGGGAGTAACAGATGGCGTAGGTGTAGGAGTCACCGTAGCCGTGTGAGGAGGAGAATCATCCCTCCTATACTGAGCTCTCTCAGCCCTCATCTCAGTCATGAAGGCATGCAGCATGTCCTGATTATTCTTCATCAGGTTCTCTGTCATTGTTCTATTAGCAGCCGTCTCCACCTGCAGAGCATTCAGAACTGCAGTAACCGGATCAGGCGGTGGAGGAACTGTACCTCGCGTCCCACGGCCATCACGAATCCCCCTCATGATAACTGTACATGTAACACAAAGGAATGAGCTGATCAGACCCACACTGAGGAATCACATATACATTCATCATAAAGGGTTTACAGATAGCTATGCAACACAACCTATAGTCATATCTAATCAGAGTTCCCTAGTAAACTGCTCTGATACCATAAAATGTAACATCCTGTTGTACACCGGTATTGTTAACATTAATATGATATTAAGCGCAGTTACAATCACAGCAATTCATTTATAAAAATGCGAATAAACTTTTTACGATTATTACGCGAGCACTTAAAATAATAAAAACGTAATAATTAAAAGTTGTGACCGTAACTGTAAACTCTTGCGGAATACTTATTTAAACTACTTCTATGTCTTATTTTACTTATCATAAGTTACTAAGGGGTTCCCATAAACCCACTTAGCCAATTACTAACTTTTACGTTTTTACTTACCCGAACATGGTTCACTAATTAAATTATTGCGAATGCACCACAAAAATTCAGACCTTCCACTTAGGTTATATTTTTTTCTTACTTAATTACCTTTCTAAAAAGCTATCACACGCTATGATCGGAGCACGTTTGCTCCGGATATCGCCGTTTGAAGTTGGATAAGCAAAACAGCCAACCAACCCCAAAACAGCTCAAAACCTCTCTCACTCCTCGAACCACTGCAGAAAATTCACTCATCCAATTGCTCTCAAATTTTCATTCTATAAACTAGACACCTCAATCTTCGATTTGATATATCATACGCTTAATTTGACCAAGAAATGAAGCAGGAATAAAATTCCCAAAACTGGACCAAAACAGCCCCCAAGTGCAGGGCAAAACAGGGCAGTTGTGTTCACTGACTTCCACAGGGCTGCGCACAACCCATAAAATTCTAATATTTTTACACAATGTAGGGGACATCTCAAGCTTCAAAAAAGCGTATGGAACGTCCCTATCGGACCTCTATGGAGGGAGATATGCTCTCCCGAAGTTCACCTAAAATCTGCCAATTCTACAGAAAATTCGCCAGAGTTTCCTTTGTTTTTCCTTAAATCCCCAAATTTACATAAGCTTGCTAATACCACAAATATACCTAATAATCCAATGGGTGGCACACACAAGGACCAGCAATGCCTTGGGGCTCTTACAACCCACAATATACAACAATTCCATATCATATACAGTAGTATACATACATGATCCATAACTCTATATATATCATATCAAAAAGGTGACTCTGTGCCATAACTACAACATCCTACATCAACCTACATAAACATAATACATCACAGTGTCACAATATATACAACAGACTCCCAAAATAAGCAGGCAACATCTATGCTCAGATCTACTCATCAACCACGGGCCTCTTGCCCCGAGAACGATCGTCAACTGCTGCGATACCTGAAATATATCCCCATAACGCGGGGTGAGAATGAATCTCAATAAACTTGGGGTTTATGGAGCAGTCTCCACCCAAGAGTCCACTTCCTGCAAGAAAATATCAAGTACCAAGACATAGATAACACCATATAATCCATATTAGAATTTCTGTATCATATATCTTTTCTAATAATTCTCATTTATTCTTATAATGTACTTTCTTATTAATCTTAAGTATGTTCATGTCTTATGTATGAATAAGGCTTCCATCTTATATTTGTAATGTCGTATCATATTCAATAGCATACTCATAATGATTAGAGAACTAAAGTATTATCGGCTATACCTTATGTATACCGTGATCATATCCATAATTGTTTCCTCTGTTCAAAAACCATAACTTACACTTCCAAGGCTTCATTTCATTGAAGATCATATCATATTAACTTATCATAACATAAATAATATCATATGCATGCACTATATGAATGCAACTACGCAAAGTATCAATATTAACAACAATTATATCCATACGGAAACCATAATCGCCACTGATCATGGCGGAACAAAAAGGCTGAGAAAACTCCTAACCGAAAGCTTACCTGTCGTCTCTTTCCTGCTGCTAACTTGCTATTTAATAACCCGTACACTTGGTTGTCTACAAGTTGTTCGTCCACCTACTTCATCTGATTACACTCTGTTACCGTACATATAAAAGTACCATTAATTTCCAATGAAACATACATTACTTGAAATCCGAGTAATTATATTCATATGTTAATTTCATAACCAACTTGACAACTTCATTTCCCTTGACAGTTCATGCCATCCCATAAGTTTACAACTTAATTTATACTTCATGACTTAGAGTCTCAATTAGTTAATTAATTTACTAATTTATAGTTAACATTTCATACACTTTTAACAAAGCTTCACGTATCTTAAACCATTTGAATCATACTTACTTATTCTAGGAAAATGCTATAAATCAATCACTTGAATTGAAAACACATAATCTATGCCCATTATTCCTTTATGGCCGAACTCTATATATAAACACATATACAATTCTTTTGGTTGTAACATCAATTTCCTTAGCCATTTAATACATATTGGTCGAATAGTTACATATACATATACTCATGGATTTACCATTTCATCTTAGTTAATTCCTTGTTTGATCACTAAGTAGTCTTATATAAACTATTACATAACTTTTTCATCAAAACTCTAACATAAACATAGTCTACATCCTAGACTTAATTAAGATTTCACACTTTATGTTTGGTTCAAATACTAGCCAATCATCATTAAATGTCCTAAGGATCATTGTTTTACATAACCAATGAATTAAACACTTAATTTGCACAATTAATTCTAAAGGGCCGAAATACACACATTTTTTACAGCATCAACATCCTGTGCCATTTTAATCACGTTCATTCTTTTTACAAACCAACTCTAAATCATATTACACTTACATTTCCACATACAACTTGATTAAACACATCCTTTAACTATTTTATCACATGATGACCGATTTGCCTAGCTCAAGGTTTAATGAATTCTCTTTCAATTTTTCTATCACTTGAACCTTTAATTTGTCATCTCAATTTCATGTATTTCACTTAGGAAATATTACAAACACTTGGTGTGCACATCTTTACAACCAAAATCTGAACCATATAGAGTTCATTAAACTCATCCCTTATGTGATTTCAATTTCTTTTTGTAGTATAGAAAACCAATCCATCACAACAACTCATTAACCCACTTAAACATCAATAAAACCACTTAAATTCATCATTAAACCAACATCAAAATTATCATCATAAACAGCCCTATATCATGAATATCATCATTATTTCTAAGAATTTAATCAAGGGAGTGAAGGTTTAATACCTTAGATAGCCTAACCAATAACTATTGATGACTTCCCTAAGCTTAGAACTATGGAATCAATCCATTTTCTCCTTCCTTTCATGTGCAGGCGCTGCTGTCCAGAGGAGAAAAGAAGAGATTTAAAGCTTCCCAAAGTTAGAAAAATGGTGGGTTAGAATGATGGGGTGCTAAGCTACCTTTTCTATGTTGGAGTCTGGATGAAATGGTGACCAAATCATCAAGTTCTCTCTTGCCCTTTCTCCATTGAAGCTCACGAACTAAGGAAGAAGAAAGAAAGAGGAGTGCAGCGTGAGAGAGAGAGAGAGAGAGAAAAAAAAAAAAAAGGAAGAGAAGGGACCGCCTAATTGAAGCCAAGTAGTCTTAGTTTATTTATTTATTTATTTTTTTGACAACATGTCACTT